GTTATTAGATTATCAGGACTTACTCCTTTTGGAATTCTTTTCTGATTAATTTGATTTTGGTCTTGGGCAAGACACTGTCTGGATTGAGTAATTAGTGGGTAACAGTAGAGAAGCTTCAGGGAGGTGTGTTAAACTGCGACTCTGCATCCTGCTTGCACCCTGGCAGAGGTTTCAAGTGACAAATTACAAATAGATTGTAACTGTACTTAAATACACTTTTCAGGTATCCAAACATTTTAAAACGTTGCTTGTTGCTCTTGGCTTCAGTTTAAGGTTTATAAATATTTATTTCACATAATGTGCACTATCTAATGCAGATCATTGGTGCCATCCTCATGTAGTGACAACAAGTGTCATTGGATGAGTCATATAACACACTCATCGATTAGCTATTCATCACATTTGTGCTGACAATAAAGGAAATCATCAGAAGCAAGCAAGTGTTATTGAAACTGTAAAAAAGCGAGTTGTCTATGCCATGCTACAATGTCGGATTCAGAAAAAGATTTTGAAATGTCTAAAAGGTCGGACACAGGCGATAGCTATCAGCAGTGTTGGGCAAGCTACTTGTCCATTGTAGTGAGCTAAGCTATCAGTTACTCAACAATAAATTAAGCGTCACTACACCAAAGCTACCACCTAAAGAATTATAGCAAGCTAAGTTACACTAATGTGTTAAAAGTAGCTTAACTACATCAGAAGCTACTTAACGTTGTACCAACCTAATATCAATTCAAAATGAGTCTGACACACTAGTTAAAACATTTATTAAAGATCAGCCAATGACATAACACAGTGTAAACATTGCTTTATGATCAGCATATTAAAATAAAAACTGAAGTAATTACTAATAGACAAACTAGTAAACAATCTGAAGTTATTAGAACCAAATTAAAGGTATTGTGTATTGTTCTACACATCGAGACATGGCTGTGAGTTTGCATTCAATGGACATGTCTAGGGAAAACAAAACCCTACAAAAGGCATCTTATTTCTTTAGGGTCTCCCTTAGAGAAAACTTCTTCAGACCTCAATTAAACAGTCGATTCAAGTAACAAATGAAACTGTTTACAAAAAAGGTGAAAAAATAAAGAAGCTAATTAAGTGGTACATATATTTATATCTCACCATATAGGCTACTTTAATTTCTACCTACATATTTATTCATTGTGTTTTTGGGGGCAATTCATTGAATGCTTATTTATTTATTTATTTATTGAGCATTTATTTATTTATTTATTTTATATACGGTAGAGCTGTTCCTACATAAATAAAAAAATCTTGTCTGTGCAAAGCCTAAAAACAGATTTATGTAAACATCCTGTCAGGTAAACTAGGCCATGAAAATACAATATCGAAGTTTCACTACTGCTCTCTAATTAGAGTATCTTAGTGGCACATATGGGAGAATTATCCTGCCATAATGCAAGAGCACATCATTTCAATTTGAGAAAAGAATTTCATCTTCTTGCACTCAAAACTTATAATGCTCACACTCAAAACATGGGCTCTCTCTCAAATATTTTCTCTTCTCTCTTTGTTTCTTCTCTCAGATTTAATGCTTCTTGCACAGATATTTTCTCCTCTCGCTTGCCTCCTTCTCTTCGCGCACAATCCGCGCTCTGCACGAGTCTCAGATACGCTCGCAAACCCATAGGCTCTGCTTGCGGATTTTTTTTTGCTCTCTCGGACTGCAGTTGGATCGTCGCCTAGCAACCATTCCAGCCAATAGAACGACAGACTCGGAAAGGGTGCGCTTGTTTAACCCTACTGAGTGTGCCTGTGCTACTACGTCACTTATAAGAGCGTCAGCTGAAACTGCTATTTACAGTAGCTTGTGGCTGATTGTTGTTTCAAAATAGAAAACCTGGTTTCATTTCTTAGTTATGCCCTGGATTTTGTAGCGTTTGTGGACGCTACGTCGCTACTTGATCAAAGCAATAACGTCGCTACAGGAAAGTTACTTTATAAATAAAGCAGTGACGCTACGGTCAAGCTACTGGAAAATGTAGTTAAACTAATAGCTTCGCTACATGTAGCGGCGCTACTGCCCATCACTGGCTATCAGGAGATGGAGACCAACAAGACCTTCCTCATCCTTGGCCCTATCTCAAAGAATTTTTCACTCCCAAGGCCGTCATTTTGACGGTTCTGAGATTTTAAAGGGAAAGAACTTTATTTGAGATTAATCTTATGTTGCTCATGTTAACGGACTTTTTCTGTTTCTTTATTTCCTTCATTTTCACATAAAATTTTTAATAAAATTAAAATGTAAAATATAAATATCGTTAATTTTACCTCGACCTACCACAGCCATCATTTTGTTAGTTGCATTGTAAATTCTTCCCACGGTGATTGACATTCTGTACTGTTGCCTAGCAACCAACATTCTAGCTATAACTCTTTGGATAATACGGAAAAATGGCTTTTAGAGTAAAACTTTTTTTCAAGCACTGCCCACACTTAGCAGCCCAAAAGCCAAACCAGGGTGGATGTGTCGGACCAGAGGATAAGAAACTATTCTGTAAAAGCTCCAACACGAAGGTGGCCTGTGGTTGTAATTTATGATCTCCTGGAAATATCAGCTATAAATGCATTGGTTTTGTTCAGGGGCTGTTTGAATGTCACTTTTTTACGCAGAGATTCTATTCTTTAATTGGTAAAACAGTTGGGGGCAAACTGCAGGTTATAAGCCCCTCCCCCGCAGTAGGGCAGCGTTGGCGAGGCACAGCAATCAGCGCCAGGTGATTATGCACTGCAAAAAATTGCTTATATTACGTTTTTCATAAATGTAAAAAGGTGGTGTGTTGGAAATGTTTAGAGGAATCAATCAATTTCTGTAAATAAAATTATAATTTCAAACGTTGAACATGTGTAGTAAAACAGTCTTACTCTACGGATTTATTTTTAATATACATTTAGAATACAAATAATAATAGCATAAAATACAGCCTTTGAAAAAAAATATATAACAATATCCACAATGGGTTTATATTGCACACTAGAACCATCTCAGTTGATGACATCATCACTACTCATGTGTTCCATTGGAAAAAATGTCACCCGTCAAATGGATGGCCAGTGGGAGTGCTAAGAGGATCAGAATTCTGGGAGTCCCTGTGTTAAAGGTTACTTTATACTTTTGTACTTTAAGTAGTTTTTGGAGCACAAACTTTTTCACTTTTACTAGAATAAAGAGGTCAAGTTGATACTTCAACTTTTACCAGAGTGTTTTTAGACTGCAGTATCTATACTTCTACTTAAGTAACAAATGTGTGTACTTTTGACACCACTGACCCCTGGCTTGTCAATGTTTGGAGGACTAATAATTCCACCAGATTCTTAGAAAGAAGAGCTGCACCATCCACAGCGGAATGGATGCCATCTCTCCAAATCAGACCAGGCTTTCCCCAAAGGAATGGCCAATAATTAATGTAGCCCACATTGTTTTCAGGACACCACCTAGACAACCAGCAGTTGAATGACAACATGCAGCTAAACATCTCGTCTCTGGCAGATCAGGGAGGGGACCAGAGAAAATTATGGAGTCCGGCATTGTTTTGGCAAACTTATACATCGAAACAACACTAATTTTAGTGACCTCTGATCAGAGTAACCGGGTGTTATTACCACCAGTGTAAATAAAAATCTTACTGTATTCAACATTTTACTTAACCAGCAGATTCAGGTAGGATTTGATGTTGCCCATTCTGGCCCCCGACAAACATTTGACTATGATCCTCTAATGCCATGTTCCTGACTATGAAGCTGCCAGTTACCAGACTGGGCTTCTCAGTGGGTGCAACATTGAGTGGGGAAAGTTGGTTAGAATCCTGGGTGGATTTGTGGTGATCAGTGGGACAGAAATCCACGACTATGCTTTTTTTTCATACTGTTACCCAATCGCATGGCTCCTCTAGCACTTTTGGAGGACCACTATGTTAATTTCAATGGTGAAGTCCTCCTGAAATCTTACATAATTGCTGTTTATTGCAGGAGTGTCTATTAGTTTCCATTGACTTTGCTTGTAAAGCAGGGGGAATGGCGCTAGGCCTACGTCACTGTGACGTTCCTGCCGTAAGATGTCAGGAGTGAAGTGTTACTATATTCAGGCAAAAATATAGTGATTACTTCAAAAAATATTGCTTTTATTTTTTACTGATTAACGCTAAATTCATTCAATCACAGTGAAGCTTTAGGTATTAATGATTACCCATTGGTTATTATTTGCTGACCACACTTTTTCTTTAAGTAGAGCTTCTGGATATAGTTACAGAAATGTATGGAGATTTAAGAGCTAATTACTCCACTTTTAACTTACTTCGATTTTCTACCTGATTTCAGGATTTTTTTTTTCATTATTTAAGAATATGCTTAATATCTAAATTTTGATTTAATTATTTGCTTTGTAAAATTATATTTATTATTTATCAAAACTGACTTTACTAAATGGTAATTTTCCACATTGTTGTAATTAATAAATATAATAAGTTAAATTAAATGAATAAATTAAATATAAAATATATAAAATAAAATTAATCTGTCTAAGCCTAAAGTCTAAGTTGTATTCGAGGAGTATGATCCACATGACACTTTTACTGTAAATTATTTTGAATTTTGTAACTTTAATTGATTTGCATATATATTGTAGTTGGTGAAAATGACCTGATCATTTGGCTGGTATTTGCCATAATCCAAAGTGTTAGCAGAAATACAGGGCCCCGACATCTAATTTGGATTTGGTTAAGCATGTGTGTTTTAGACGTCTGAACTTTATATGCTTTAAGCTTCATGATTCCTTCTAGTTTAATCTTTCATTTTGACAGCTGCAATTGCTCTTTGTACATCAGAACCCTTGTTAGATGCAGGTTATACCTCTCAGCTTTCACACTTGTGTTTAAAAAAAGGTATCTTCCATAGAAATACAACGACCTAACAGCAAATGTCAAAAATAGTTCTTATTCTTTTTAAGTCTGCTCTGTCTTTGTCTCTTCATTCAGATGCTGATAGTCGGTGTCAACGTGACCTTAAATGTTCTCTAAAGAAGAAGCTTGAATGTGTCTATGAAGGTGTTGCTAAACCTGGAGAGAAAACTTTATTGAATGAGATCTACACAGAGCTTTACATCACAGAGGGAAGTACTAAAGAGATCAATGATGAACATGAGGTCAGAAGGATTGAAACAGCATCCTGGCAAAAAAAAAGACCAAGAAGAACAATCAGACTCAAAGACATCTTCAATCCACCTGGAGGAAGGGATCGGATCCGAACCGTGATGACGATGGGTGTGGCTGGCATCGGGAAAACAGTCTTAACACAGAAGTTCACTCTGGACTGGGCTGAAGGCAGAACCAACCAGAACATCCAGTTCATATTTCCACTCACCTTTAGACAGCTGAATGTTTTGAAAGAGGAAAAGTTAAGCTTGGTGGAACTGATTCATAAACACTTTAAACCAATCAGAGATGCAGGGATCCACAGCTTTGAAGATTTCCAGGTTCTGTTCATCTTGGATGGTCTGGACGAGAGTAGACTTTCTTTTCACCAAAATAAGATCCTGACTGATGTTACAGAGTCCACCTCAGTGGATGTCTTGCTGACTAACCTCATCAGGGGGGAACTATTTCCGTCAGCTCTCCTCTGGATAACCACACGACCTGCTGCAGCCAATCAGATCCCTCCTGAATCTATTGGCATGGTGACAGAGGTCAGAGGGTTCACTGACCCACAGAAGGAGGAGTACTTCAGGAAGAGGTTGAGAAATGAAGAGAAGGCCAGCAGGATCATCTCCCACATTAAAAGATTAAAAAGTCTCTTCATTATGTGTCACATTCCTGTCTTCTGCTGGATCACTGCTGATGTGCTCGAGGGTTTATTGGAGACCAGAGAAGGAGGAGAGCTGCCAAAGACCCTGACTGGCATGTACATCCGCTTCCTGATGCTTCAGATAAAAAAGATGGAAGAAAACTACTGTGGAGGAGCTGGAAAAGATGCAGACATCAGAAGGATGGTTCTGTGTCTGGGAAAATTGGCCTTTGAGCAGCTGCTGGAAGGAAACCTAATCTTCTATAAACCAGAGCTGGAAAAGTGTGGCATCGACATCAAAGATGCTTCATGGTTCTCAGGAGTGTTCACTGAGATCTTTAAAGAGGAGAGAGGGATGGACAACACCTCAGTCTACTGCTTTGTTCATCTGAGCTTCCAGGAGTTTCTGGCTGCAGTCTACATACTCCATTGCTTCATCAGCAGAAACACAAAAGTTCTTAGGAACTTATTTGGTGTTTTCTACATATGCTCATCTCAGGAAGATTTCCTGAAGAGAATCATGAGGAAATCCTTCAGGAGTAAAAATGGCCACCTGGACCTGTTTGCCCGCTTCCTTCATGGCCTCCCTGTGCAGTCCAACAAGAGCCTCTTAGGATGTCTGCTAGGTCAAATGAAACTTAGTCCAGGAACCATCCAGAGAACCATCAATAATCTGAAGGAGATGAATGCTGTTGATGTCTCTCCTGATAGAAGCATCAACATCTTCCATTGCCGCCTGGAGATGGAGGACCTCTCAGTTTATCAGGAGATCAAACAATTCCAGAAATCAGGGGAGAAGCTCACAGAGATCCAGTGCTCAACTCTGGCTTACATGCTGCAGATGTCAGAGGAGGTTCTGGATGTGTTGGACTTGAAAAAGTATGACACATCAGAGAATGGACGATGTAGACTAGTTCCAGCTGTGAGGAACTGCAGAGAGGCTCGGTGAGTCAAGATGTCTTCATGGTGTGATGTTGATTCAGCTCTATTGTCCTCCTGGTTCTTCTTCATGGTTCTAGTTGCTTCTGGACGTTTTTGCTCTTTAACTTCTTCATTTGTCTTTTATATTATTTTAACCATAAAAACATTGAAATGTCCAGCTCCTTCAGGACAGATCTGCTGGAGGTTTTGATGTTTAGAGATTTGGATCATTTTAAAAATATTCAACTTTTGATCAGTTGAATCTTCCATTGTAATGAATACAAAAAATTCTGAATGTAGAAAATCTGTGTTTTCTCTAAAGATTCAATCAACCACAGAACCATTAGAACCTTTAAACATCTCTTCACTCAATGGACTTTTAGCCTATAATTCACCTTTTTAGTCTATTCGATTGCTTAAAAAAAAAAAAAACATTGTTTAGCTTTGATGGAAACTAGGGCCATTCACACATGACAGAGCCTTTCCCTCAAGGTTGGATTCCACATTATCGAAATCAATTTTGGCAGGGATCCAGGACCATTTCTCAGGTCAGTAACCCTCCCAGTTACTAAGGTACTGGATGACCCTACCCCTTCTTTGGGACATAAGTATATGCCAGATAGTGTAGGCAGGATCACCAGCAATGAGTTGGACAGGTGGATGGGGTTCTGAAGGAGGGCAGGAATTGAGAAGTCTTCAAAGGTTTGATCTGGGACAGATGGCAAAATTAATATTCATTGTGTGTGGGTGCTGCAGGCAGACATCAACTGGGTTCACCACTTTAGAGTTAGCCATTGTACCAATGAACCAAGGAGTCAGTTTCCTGTTCTCCACCCGCACTGTCAGGTCCTAAGTGTAGAGCCATGCACTTGAACCCATATGGTACTCTGTTACTGGCAGGCGATGGTGGTTGGCACCCTTGGATTGAACCTCAGACATAAAACAAATAGTTTTCCTAGCCTTTCTCCAGGATAGTTGGCATCTCAAGGCTGATAATCAGACAGAAGTTCCTTTAGATTCCTTCTCTTGAAGGGTGAAAACTGGTGGCTGGAATCCATACACAGAGAAAAAAAGGAGAAAGAACAGTGGTGCTAGAAGGCTGGGCCTTGATTGCATGCTTGATATATTGTCAATTTTGTGCCCATCTAGTTTGATCAGACACACAGAGAAGGCAAAGTTTGGTCTCAACTTCTTGGTTTGCCCATCACTCTGAGGGTGGAAGCCAGATGACAGGCTGACAGAGATCCTAAGCAGAGAACAAAACTCCCTCCAGTATTGGGCAATGAATTGTGGACCTTTGTCAGAAACGATGTCTGTGGAAATGAGGTGCAAATGAAATAGCTCCTTGGCCAGGATGTTGCCTGGTTCTGTAGTGGAACCAGGTGAACCATCTGGAAAAGAAGGCATCTGGAAGCCATCTGGAAAAGAAGGGTGAATACAGCAGTACTTAGCCTTTTAGTCGAGGACTGCTTTTGTCAGGGTCAGACAACTGAAGAACAGGGGCAGAATTAAACAGATGCTTTAAAGAGAAAATGCTTTATCTGCTTGGCCATTCCAGAACCAGTTGGTCTTGAAAGAGGTACGAGCACTGAGGGGAGTGGTGACTTGACAAAAATTTCGTTTTATACTCCCGTGACATTGGCAAAGCCCACACTGCATGAAAAGTGAGATTTTCGTCCCCATAAACTACCGCAGATCTCCCTCATTTTCGGCAGTTAACGACAATTTGCAACCCGCGCTTGTGGCCGTTTGTCAGTGCCACAAATTGTCGGAAATGGACTCTGACGTATGTGGAGAGCGATCAGCTGTACTAATGGCCCTAATTAGCATATGAATGCAGCGAACCGGCGCGGCTGGCCAGGTCTGGCTTACCTACTCAGTATTGGCTGAAACCACTATTTTCAAACAAGTAAAATCGCTCGTGATTGGCAGCAAAACCACACATATTTATATATATATATATATATATATATATATATATATATATATATATATATATATATATATATATATATATATATATATATATATATATATATATATATATATATATATATTATTTATGTTATCCTACACAACTACACTCTCATTAGTCTCCCATCAAGGACATGAATGAATTTATACAGGAAATGAACATTTGCCAGGAAGATGTTTATGCAAAGAAAGAGCTTTATTAAAACAAACACAACTATATACAACGCAAGGATCTGCCCACACATGCGTATCCAAAAATTACAACTCCGTGAACTGTCCGTTTGCCTGCTCGGGGTTGGAGGTAACTGGCAGCATTCTCTCCGAGGCAGGTCCGATGTGCAGACGCCTACTGTGCGCGGCCCTGTACTTCGGCATCGCCGCTAACCGGGACTGCAGCTTAACACAGAGTTCAGAGAGATCCGGCCTACGAAATGGCGGCGGCCGTACAATCCATCCAGAGACACCGCCAATGACGCCATCTTCTTCGTCAGACATGAGGTCGACGGTGGCGGACTTCCAGAGTTCCACTTCCTCATCAGCTAGCACACTCTGCCTCGATTCCAGCAGCTGTAAAAAAAAGCAATGAATCAGCACTATGCGATGGGATGAACTGCATATGGACACAACACATCTATCAATGCACCTGAAAAATAGTCACCAAATAAAGTCTTACCCTCTTTCCTCTAGCTCGACTCCGAGCTGAATGCTTGGCAGCTTCCGCCCGCAACGTGTTCTCTGGCTGTGTATATCTGAAGCTCCTGCGTACCGTCTCATAATACGTCTTAAAGGCAGCTGGAAAACAATTAAATGAGAGTGGTATGAATAAAAATCAAACGCAAGTCACAGTAACAACGAAGGAGAGAACTGTAAAACAAGTCACTTACACACAATGTCGCCTCATTATGAGGCAAGATTAGTCTGTGAAAAAAAATTTGCAGTTATGATCAGTATCTATCCGCATCTATTTCCTTTTACCGCAGAATGAAAGCATATTCTTTAAATCTTATCCTTGCTCCGGTTCATAGCACCTGTAATTTGTCTCCGATTTGTGAAGACGGCGTACTGCTTCCTGTGAATCACAAAAAATACACTTTAATAAAGCTTGTTCTTGCAAAGCTACTATTAGCCGTAGTTTTAGGCTAGGCTGTTTTTAGCTTAGCTAGCTAGGCTGTTTTTAGTTTAGCTAGCTAGGCTGCTTTTAGCTTAGCTAGCTAGGCTGCTTTTAGCTTAGCTAGCAGTAATCGAACATATATTTACCGCTAGCTTCTCTTCTTTGATTTTGTCTCTCCCGCACAGTTGTTCGTCTGCAGAGCCGCCATCTTGTCCTCTATGGACAGCAACCTGGAGTGTACCGAATTCTCCAGTTGAGTGAGCCGCTCATTCATTTCGGCAGTATGTTGAGTAAGCTGACGAGACAGTCCACTGATAGCAATGAGCAGTTTCTTCTCGTCAGTCTGCAGACTGGCTGAAAGTTGTGGATCGCGTCCAAGAGGAGTTGAAGGCGAGTTGAACGCGAGACATCATCCAGCCATTGATCACGTACCAGCAAAATCCAAACAAAGGAACTAGAGATAAAGTTCTTCTGAAGGCTCGTCAGGCTCCTCCAATCACATACGAGGTCATTGTTATATGGAAGGACTCGCGATAACAGCTGCGTCTATCATGTTTTTTTTTTGTTTTTTTTGGCGTTATTGGCAATTCCGTGTAACAATACAGAGTAATTCAAACATCAAACACAGATACACAGCCGATAGTGACATTATAACTTTAAAAAAATTAAACGTAGAATGTAAAAAATAAATAAAAATAAACCAAGGGAAACAAACATATAAATAAATAAACAAATAAATAAAATAAACATAAAATAATTATAGCTAGGGGTTTACATTGAGTTTATGGTCATTTACAAAAGTTTATAATTTAATACCATTTTTCTTCTTCATAAATTTAAGTGTTGGGATATATTGCCAAAATGGAGCTAAATCAGTGGGGTGTGCCATCTGAAACCATCCCCCCCTTGTTAGTCACCTGGAACCCATCCCCCTTCTCTTCTCCACAAGGGAGAACAAAGGATTCCCTCCAAAACAAGAACAAAGAAGACCCGGCCCACTGNTTATTACTATGCGATAAGTCAAGATTATTTTTTGTGTAGTCTTCTGCCCTCTGTTATCAGGTATATCTGATTGTGTACTATAGAATTTTGAGCAAAGTTTTTACCTTTAAATCATGCAAAAGGTGTCAGACGCAAAACATTTCAGAAACTGTATGTATCAAATATGATACATTTGGCATTACAGGGTTAAATAATCAGTTAATATGATTAATTGTTTCAGCCCTGGTAAAATACGTGAAATGCTCAACACAGAGTAACTACAGCCCAGATGTACAACTTGTATAATGAAGTTAAAATTTTAAATGCTCAGTGGCAGTTCCTCTTATAGTTCCAGTGATCATGTAAATACAATAACTTTATTTGCTGTCCCTTGAATGTATTATTTTGCATGAAACAGAGAGAGCATATTAGATTAAAATAAGTAAGTGTGGGTTTTACCTCTGTTTACCTCTGCACAATTCTATATCTTCAAAAGAAAACAGGATAAATCCACGTGAAACAGACATATTTAGACTATATTTGGTTAAATAGGCACATGTTTACCTACTGTCTTAGTCGCTGGTAAGTTTAACTGCAAACCTTTTCAAAGTGGAAAATATTCCTAATTCCACATTGGTCAGAGCCAGTGATGCTTTAAACATTGATAAACAGCATCTAGTGCGTGTTGTACTTATAAGATTTGTATGTAGGAATAAATGCTGCTGTTCTCTTTAAACAAAATGTGCCCTGATGCTCACATTAAGCATAAAAAAAGAGCATGCATAATTTTGCAAAGGACCGATGACATCAGAATAATGAAACTGAAGACCAATAGTGTCCCTACCAAAGTTGAAATCAAACCTACGCCTTTAAGGAAAGACGCACATGGGCACGTCTGATTTGTACTTCTCTGAGGACGTCTTTGTCATTCTGAACTCGCCCTGAGGATGATGATGATGATG